AATTGGCATCATAGGTAGACCTCAACTATGAGAGACAAAATTAGAAAAAAAATCCAGACAATCACATTGGCTGATTTGGAAAGAATTTATTTGCAAATTATGGTGGAAAATAAGTATTTGGTCACCTACAAACAAGCAAGATTTCTGGCTCTCACAGACCTGTACCTTCTTCTTTAAGAGGCTCCTCTGTCCTGCATTCATTACCTGTATCAATGGCACCTGTTTGAACTTGTTATCAGTATAAAAGACACCTGTCCACAACCTCAAACAGTCACACTCCAAACTCCACTATGGTGAATCCAAAGAGCTGTCGAAGGACACCAGAAACAAAATTGTAGACCTGCACCAGGCTGGGAAGACTGAATCTGCAATAGGCAAGCATCTTGGTGTGAACAAATCAACTGTGGGAGCAATAATTAGAAAATGGAAGACATACAAGACCACTGATAATCTCCCTCGATCTGGGGCTCCACGCAAGATTTCACCCCGTGGGGTCAAAATGATCACAAGAACGGTAAGCAAAAATCCCAGGACCACACGGGGGGACCTAGTGAATGACCTGCAGAGAGCTGGGACCAACGTAACAAAGGCTACCATCAGTAACACACTACGCCGCCAGGGACTCAGATCCTGCAGTGCCAGACGTGTCCCCCTGCTTAAGCCAGTACATGTCCGGGCCCGTCTGACGTTTGCTAGAGAGCATTTGGATGATCCAGAAGAGGATTGGGAGAATGTCATATGGTCAGATGAAACCAAAATAGAACTGTTTTGGTAGAAACACAACTCATCGTGTTTGGAGGAAAGAGAATGCTGAGCTGCATCCAAAGAACACCATACCTACTGTGAAGCATGGGGATGGCAACATCATGCTTTGGGGCTGTTTCTCCGCAAAGGGACCAGGATGACTGATCCATGTACAGGACAGAATGAATGAATGGGGCCATGTATCGTGAGATTTTGAGTGCAAACCTCCTTTCATCAGCAAGGGCATTGAAGATGAAACGTGGCTGGATCTTCCAACATGACAATGATCCCAAACATACCGCCCGGGCAACGAAGGAGTGGCTTCGTAAGAAGCATTTCAAGGTCCTGGATTGGCCTAGCCCAGGGGTCTGCAACCTTTAAGACATAAAGAACCACTTGGACCCGTTTCCGAAGGGAAAAAAAGACTGGGAGCCGCAAAGCCATTGCAACATTTAAAACAAATCCGACACTGCATATATTGCAAAAAGCGCTCTGGTCATGAAGGGAGTTTAAGGGCCCAGTAAGCAAAGGGTTCATCAGGGCCACAGTGTATCGTCATAATCACAATCATAGCCTTAGGTCAGTGGTGGGCAACCTTTTTTTTCAACTGAGCCAAATCTCGCCAAAACCACGATTGAAATTTATTTTGAGAGCCACATTTTTAAAACTGAAAATACATCCCCCATATAGTAATTCATCCCCCATAGTAATTCATCCCCCATATAGTAATTCATCCCTCATAGTAATTCATCCCCCACATAGTAATTCATCCCCCACATAGTAATTCATCCCCCACATAGTAATTCATCCCCCATATAGTAATTCATTCCCCATATAGTAATTCATCCCCCCTATAGTAATTCATTCCCCATATTGTGTCAATTCACTTACCTTTGCGCCGCGCGTTCCTCTCGCCGTGTTCCCGCGCCGTTCCGGTCTTCAGGGCGGACTGTGAGAGGAGAGGAGTTCGTCGCGCTGCCCCGCCTACATCCTGACAGCCAATGTTTGCCACGCTCCGCGGGCCGGATTAAAAGGTCCGCCGGGGCGTAGTTTGCCCATTGCTGGGCTAGCTGCAGAGTCCTGACTTTTGGGGCGGCCGCCCGAGAGGAGGGAGGGGAGCGGGCGCCCGGCACACAGAAGAGCCGCATTAAAATGTGTAAAGACCCGCGGCTTGCCGACCACTGAGCTACGACAACCCTATTGCCTGTCACCTGGTGGGCAGTGTGCTCCGGAGCCGCAGCAAAGGTGAAAAAGAGCCGCGGGTTGCCGACACCCGGCCTAGCCAGTCTCCAGATCTCCACCCCATAGAAAAACCTTTGGAGGGAGTTGAAAGTCCGTGTTGCCCAGCGACAGCCCCAAAACATCACTGCTCTAGAGGAGATCTGCATGGAGGAATGGGCCAACATACCAGCAACTGTGTGTGCCAACCTTGTGAAGACTTACAGGAAACGTTTGACCTCTGTCATTGCCAACAAAGGATATATAACAAAGTATTGAGATGAACTTTTGATATTGACCAAATACTTATTTTCCACCATAATTTGCAAATAAATTCTTTCCAAATCAGCCAATGTGATTGTCTGGATTTTTTTTTCTCATTTTGTCTCTCATAGTTGAGGTCTATCTATGATGCCAGGCCTCTCTCATCTTTTTAAGTGGGAGAACTTGCACAATTGGTGGCAGACTAAATACTTTTTTGCCCCACTGTATATACTGTATACTATTAGAGAGTGAAAGTGGTGCATGTCAGGCTCAGAGATCAACATTTTTATTTAAAGAAAAAATAAAAATAAAAAGCTTAAAACGCTGTTTTGCTGATTTTCATACAGGACTGTAATCTAATATTATGTATGGCAGATGCCCTTGTCAAAGGCAGGTACTTTGATACAAGCTACCTGCGCCTGCTGTCACTTAAGCCTGGTACACCTTTCAGTTTTTTTTTTTCTCTCAACCCAGTGGGCAGAATGAAAAAAAAAAAACCCCGAGAGGTCACTGTACTTACTAATCGATGTTAGTGCAGAGATCTCTCCCGCTGTGCCTTTGTCTTCTGACGGGGACTGCGGCCTCCTCCTGACCGTATATGCTGGTTTTCCAGCATGTCCCTTCGACAAAAGCTGTTAATTAAACCTGCTTTTTTTTGGAAGGACAGCTGTACACATGGTCCAAATGTCTGCTGATATTCAGACCATATGTACCCAGCTTTATGCTGGCCATACACAAACAAATTTTTCCCTTGAAAATGTATATTTTAAGAATTTTCATTAAATTTTCTGATAGATAGTGGGGTTAAATCATCGCTTATTTTTTACTGCAGTGACAGGAAAATTTGAAGGAGCAGAATAGATAACATTTCTCGATCAATTGACTTTTCAGACAGTGCGTGTGGTTTTCGTTTAGAAATTACATTCATTTTAAATTTGAATGTTAAAAGCAAGTGAAATTCTCAAACAACATTCATTCATTCATCAAAAGTACAAAGTGTTTTTGTTCTAATTTTCTTGTCCGAAAATCGATACATGTATGGCTAGCATAAGACATTTAGTAGCAGCAGCATGCTTTTTTTATACACCTGTCATGATGGGGTTAAAAAAAAAATAAAGCGGCCTTTTATAACACAGAAACAACAGATAATCTCTGCGATAAGGGGGTTATTATACTGTGAAAAAGTGAATGCAATAATAGATAGTTACATAGTTAGTCCGGTTGGCAAAAAGACACACGTCCATCTAGTTTAATCATCAAAAGGGAGAGAATATATATATATATATATATATATATATATCTCCAAATGTTTTGGGACGCCTGCCTTTACACGCACATGAACTTTAATGACATACCAGTCTTAGTGCGTAAGGTTCAATATTGAGTTGGCCCACCCTTTGCAGGTGTATCAGCTTCAACTCTTCTGGGAAGGCTGTCCACAAGGTTTAGGAGTGTGTCTATGGGAAGGTTTGACCATTCTTCCAGGAGCACATTTGTGAGGTGTTCTATTGGGTTGAGGTCAGGACTCTGTGCAGGCCACTCAAGTTCCAGGCTTGTCCGTGAATAGGCCTGATGTCTTTAGGTTGGTAGCATTGATTAATGGTCCAGACATGAAAGAATTGCATATAGGCCACACCCACAATAATAATTCTAGCTCAATAATTCTTTACATTCTATGGCTCAGTTATGATTTCTATATTTCTGGTATGGCTTTTGTTATAATTCTGGAAACCTGAACCATCTGTATGGTGCCTATGTCCCTCAGGCCACTCTCTGAACATATTTTTCCAAGTGATCTGATTTCATGAGATCAGTGGATAAACTGATATTATAAAGGTCTGTGCAGTTCTATATATGACACCATAAAATTCATTTACCATCTGGGGAAATACATAAACATCTAGTTCAAATAAACCAATAAATTAAATCTGTTCAGGGTAATACTTATCAGGAGAATGGGACCACCGCTGACAGTATCTTTGTTATCAATTAGGCCAGGGGGATTAAAGGGGAAATGTTGTGGTTCTAAATTATTTTATTTTAGTTTTTGAAAAGTTTTATGTCATGGAGCAACATTTGCCTGATCCAACCCTCATGAAAGCCGAAAAACCAGATTCTTTTGCAAGTTCAACATAAATATTAACGCTGTTCAAAAAAAAAAAAAAAAAATATATATATATATATATATATATATTGACAGGTGCATACAGATATCAAGATATTATTTATATTATGAATCACTAAGTCACTGCATTGAATTTTTAGGCAATTCATACTGAGATCAAAGAATAGATTGATTATTTCCCTACGATTACTGAGTGAAAATCAGACATTGGGTTCACGTACGATAACAATTTTCTAGCTCCCACAACCCCCAGTGAGTTGAATCCTGCACAATCTCCCAAATTACATGAATATGTTTGATGCTTCAAATTATATAATGATTGGGGGGAAAGGGGGCAAATTGGACAGCTGGAGAACTGGGCTGGTGCTTGGTGTGTGAGAGCTACAGTACCACTCTCTTATGTGCTGATAGAACTGGATATTTCAACCCTAAATGCAGCTCTTTGACTGAAAAAAAAGTAAAAATGTCCTATATTGTATTTATTACCGTTTATGCATACTAACTGCTTTACAGTTGTATATAGCTAGGGTTTAATTGGGCATAAACAATATTCTTGGCTTCAGTAATGAAAATTGCTATACTATGCAAAAGAGTTACAGTTTTCTGAATTAAAAATCTGATCCTGTGTTTTCCTATTTTATTCATAGATTCAATCTCTGCGGCATCATTTATGCTGAATTTAAGTGATTTTCTTCTGAAAACAAGCCTGAGAGAGAGAAGCAGGAATCTGATTGGTCCGGTTTCTGGTTCTGTAAATCTGGATGCCAGCTGGTGCAAACATAGTGGGAACCCAGGCCTCCCACAATCATCTCCCAAAATTCTCCTTGATGTGAGATGTGGAGTACTACAGGTCAGTATTTTCTGAGATAAAACACAAGTGTTTAGACTGGATAAACAGCTTCCTTTTTATCAAAAAGCTTAAGTTTATACATTTTTCTGATAGATCTACAAGTGTGGGAGGAGCCAGAGTAATCCATTTGGTTAATAATTTTTTAATTTCCAAAAGAGCGAGATGTTGGGTCCTCTGAAGAGGTTGAACATTATTATGCATTTCTTACCTATAACCCTTGTTGATGTAACCTTCATACTGTTAAACTTTAATTTTAGAAAAAATATTGGAAGTAACAAAATAGGTTGTTTATGATGCAACATGCCATAGCAAAAGGCATTCATGATTTTTGAATATAACTCGCCTCACCTTCCAGCAACGTGACTGTTACATCCCTCACTGGCCGCTGTCATCTTACGTCTGCATGCCAGGTTTTCAGCCTCTTGATTGGCTGGTAGGGGATGATTTCATCCCACACATGGGCATGGAAGTCACTCATTCTGGCACTAGAAAACTGTGAGCAGACAGGTAAGTGTGTATTATTAAAGAAGAGACATAGCATGTCTCTTCTGCAAGAAAGATTTACCTGACTGTAGTTTTCTAAAAGTTAAGTTTAGTTCTACTTTAATTTACAGTACTTGTAAAGTAATTACATACATTCAAATTTGTTTAAAATTTAAGTTATCCCTCTTCTGTATGCTGTCAGGTGAGGATGAAAAGTATTCTTCAATATAATGTAGCGCTGACTTGTTTGAGTCCAAGCTCTTTTTAAAAACTTTGCTAATGTAGCTAAATTATAGGTCTGTTTAAAGAACAGCTTGTAATTCTGAATTATCTACAAAACCACACTCCACAAGAAGTAAAACACATGTAGAATACGCTTCATAAAACTGCATGTTTAATTTTCACAGGGGGCATCTTAGTTGCCTTCAAGATAATAGCGATGTGTTTCATTTAATTCATGGGATACTTTATCTGTGTTGATATTAAACAGGACTGAACACAATAGCAATACTGTGGCGTGAACACGAGTCGGAGGAAGTTATCTTTTTCCTTTTAACATTTCTCATGAACTATGGATCAGATGCTGCCAAATAAAATATATAATCAATGTGAATAAATGCTGTTTAGATAACTTCCAGATTGAGCCTTATGTTTCTTTTTATACCTTTCCATGGCTAATAAAATTTTCTTTCTAGGTTTTCTGGGGTCAGGAGAACCTAAATTGTTTGACGCACTTAAATGAGCTCGTCCAAGAATACCTGAGGAAAGAGCCGGGATTGGGAATGTCAAATTCTGAACAGCCTGTTCTCCCAGTATCGCCTGCTGTCATTAGACCCTCAACCTGTAATACAGAACACAGTTCTGATGACCTGCGGACAGGCCTCTTTCAGTACATTCAGGATGCTGGTAAGGAAGTTAAAACAGATCTCCAACTAAAACACGTTTTGGTTGTGAATAGATTGGATAGGGGATAGAATTTATCGCTATTGATGATTTCACTGACGGGAGATTTCCTGTCATCGAGACAAGAAAAGAGTTTATATTCCTCATCCATTTTACAAAAAAATGTGTTTGTCTCTGGCCCTGTCCCCTGTGTAGAGGTTTTATATTTTTTCTAGTTTCTTTTACTTTGTATCCCTAAGACAAGGAAGTAACTTCCCAGTGGGTATGAGGGCAGCAACAGACATCTGACCAAGTATTTAACCCTCCCCCACTCTACTCAAAACCACAAAAAAAATGGTATGAAATTTGATAATTTGCCATTATAGTCAGTTTCTTTTTTCTACTTACAAGCAATAGCATGCTTGCCATTTAATCCCAAATGTTGACAGTATGTACTGAACAAAAAAAAAAACAAAATTTGCCCTGAAAATGTCCACGGTTTAAAAAACAGGTTGAAATGTACCCACATTTTCTGGATTTTCTGTTCAATTGTTCAAATCAGCATTTGAAATACCAAAAATCCTTCACTTCCTGTCTGATAGCCAAAAACAGGAAGTGAAAAGAAACCCCTGCAACTGAAGGGAATCTTGTGGGGACCCTCCAGGTCACCAGAAATAGTGTCCCCTTCGGAAGATTTCCCCTCTTACTGTTCTGTGGGCAGCCAAAATGTGGGATTTTATTTTACTTTCACTCCCAATGATAATGGAAAACAGGATGATTCTCCATAACAGGGACAAAGACAGCACTAAAAAAAACTGACAGGTACTCTCATTATACAACACCAAAAAAAAAAAAGAAAATTTTGCTGTTAGTTATACATCAGCCACTTGCCCTCCATAGGATTTACCTCCCTTCCTGACAAGGTCATTTTTTGCGATATGGCGCTGCGTTACTTTAACTGACAATTGTGTGGTCATGCAACACTGTAAATAAATGAAATTTATGTTATTTTTTCCCCCAAATAGAGCTTTCGTTCGGCGGTATTTGATCACCTGCGTTTTTTATTTTTTGTTCTATAAATAAAAAAAGACCAACAATTTTGAAAAGAAAAACACAATTTTTGATTTTTTGCTATAAAACTTTTCCAGTAAAAAAATTTTAAAAATCAAATTTCATCATGAATTTAGGCCAAACTGTATTCTGCTACATGTCTTTACTAAAAAAAAAAAAATCCCAATACATGTAAATGAATTGTTTTACGTGAAAGTTATAGCATCTACAAATGGTGGTGTATATATAATGGAATTTTTTTTTATATACTAGTAATGGCAGTGATCAGTGCTGTGGCGGGTATTCTGACACTGGGGGGAACTGACTAACTGCCATTGACATCCCAATGACACTAATACAGTGATCAGTGCTAATAAACAATACTGACACTGTACTAATAACACTGGGCAGGAAGGGGTTAACATCTGGGGCGATGAAAGGGTTAACTGTGTGCTGTTTTATATAATGTGCTATGTGTATTTTATTAGGGAAACATGCTACTGTGTATTTCTCGGCTCTGCAGAGAAATACACAGCAGCATGGTCTTGCTGGCAGGAGAGAGACCTGTGTTGTTGTCTCTCCCCTGTCAGTGTTACTCAGCAATTGCCTGGTGCCGGCGGGGAACTTCTGTTTGGACCCAGTGATTGACATCTGTAGCCGGCAATGGCGGCGTGGGTAGGACGGCGCACACGCCCCCTACCTAGGAATGCAAATCACATATATATATATATATATATATGTGATTTTTTGCACAGTCCTGCCACCCTGTAGCAGTAGTTCTACTATAGGGCGGTGGGGAAGCTGTTAAGTATACATTCATTATATGTTCGTTGGGTTAACCCTTTAAAAAATGTTTAGATTAAATTCTAATTTATCAAAGTGTAAAATCCCGGTCTGCAATTTGCATTTTTTTTCCTCATTCTGGTATGATGATAGTAGTTTGGTTATCACTTTCTTAACTTACATATAGTTATATAGTCTGGTTAAAAAAAAAAGACAAGTCGTTGTAGTTCAATCAACAGAAGAAAAAAGAAACAAATATAAAAACTCCATAAACACAATCCTATACCCACAATTGATCCCGAGGAAGGCAAACAAACCCTAGGAAGCATGGTTCAATTTGTTCCAGTGATAGAAAAATATCCTAGAAGGCAAACAGATATTCCCAGGATCAACACTCTTTAGTGTTATTACTATAATGTTAGTAGTGAGCTATGTTTTGTGCATTTTGGATTGCATCCAACTACTGAGCTGGACAGAATTAGTTCTTGAGGGAGTCTGTTGCACATTTTCACAGCTCTTACTGTGAAGAAGCCGTCCATATGTGGAAGTCAAATCTCTTTTCCTCCAGACATAAAGAGTGCCCCCTTATCCTTTGTGATGACCTGAAACTGAATAACTCTACACCAAGTTCCATTATATGAAACGTTTAAGTAATTATTCTGTATATGGTGATGCTATCCCTCTTAATTCTGAATAACTGAATAAATTCAGTTAATCTAATCATTCCTTCTAGCTTTTTTTTTTTCCTTCAGTAGACTGAATAGTATCCAGGAATATTAAAGAGGAACTTGATCTCTCACTCCCATCCAACAAAGGATTATTTTTTCTTTGACCTACTCAAACCTTTTTCACTGTATTATGCTCAATTAACATGTTCACACATACTGAGTGAATGCACCACAGCATTCCGGATCCCATTCATCTATTGCTTTTCCTTACATCATTGGCCAGCTGTCTTCCTGATGATGCACCACTAGGTCTTTCCCCCTCCATGGAGCAGTGGGCTATATTCATTCTCACCTAGGCAAGAACAGAGGCAGGGGTCAAGGTACGACAATATTCCCAGAATTTAGAAGGAAAAAAAAAAAATAAGCATCAACTTTCTAAGTGTGTAGAGGGGAAGGGCTGTAAAGTCATTTTTTGCTGTGGTGGTTTGGTTTAGGGCTAGTTCATACTTGTGCAAATAAAAAATGAAGGTAAAAAACTCGTGTAAAAGCACTTGTGTTTACCTGTGTTTTTATGCACGTTCACCTGTGTTTTTACGCATATTTTTTGAAACTCATATTATGTTTAGCTTTTTTTTTCTTGTGAGTTTTCTATTTCCTGTGTCATTACTTTATCATCATTTCCTTTTCACAAAAATTACTCTAAAATCCTTATTAGCGGACAAAAACACAACATAACTTACAAAATTCCTGTTAAATCTAAAAGCTAAAACTGTACTGAGTTAATAAATAGAGATCTGCATGTGAATGAGGTCTTGGGGCTCATTCACATAGGTGCCCCAGCGTGTACAGTGTGAACCAGATTTTTTTTCTTTAATGTGGCTGAAGCTGTGTACAGGCAGCCTATGTTAGGCTATTGGAATGCAGCAACTGTATGATCACAGCCGCAGTTCCTAATTTGACAGGCTTGTGGATGCACGTGTACGGCCCCAAACACAGACAGTGTGCATTTGGGGCCATTCACCTGTACCTGCACACCTGTTAAATTAGGACCTGCAGCTGTTTTTGTATAGCCACTGTGTGCCCATAGAGTAACAGGCGGCTTCAGGCACACAAACAAAACACAATCAAACCCATGTGAATGAGCCCTTAATTTTCTTTTATTATGTTTTACATTTTTAAATATTTTTTTTACTTTTTTTTACTATTTTATTATGTATTGCAATTTTTTTCCATTTTATGTTTAGAATTTTTTTGACAATTTAAAAAAAAATGTTTTTATGCTTTATGGAGGGGGGGGGGGCAAGTGGATGATGTCAGTAGAGCAGTGGATGGTGTCAGTAGTTTTTTATTTTTATTATTTTATTGTTTTAATTTTTTTTTTATACAATTTAAAGTGTTACTAAACCCACAACAGTAAAATCAGTCTGTATATGCAGTAAAGCATGCTTGTTATACGCACTGTGGAACCTAAGGGGTTAATCCTTCGCATTGTGTAAAAAGGATGTTTGATCCTGTCTTATCTGATCCTCCCCTTTTTTCTACAGTCCCCAATCCATCTGCTGATAGAACAGAACCTTGGGGGCAAGCTGCACATGCTCAGTTTGGTGTGTATTACTAGCAGATTTTTTTTTTTTGGGGAGAGTGCATGTGATCAGCACAGGACCAATCAGCGCTGTCCAGACAGTTGATCAGGCTCCCTGCAGCCTCATAGGACAATCTGGGGAGAATGAAAACTCCTCCTACAAGGTCAAGCTTTAACCAGTGCTCTGCCTTACACTGATATAAGTTACAAGACTGCTGTAACTGTTGATGTGAAAAGGTATTTAGCAGTTTATATTTACTAAATTGCATTTTCATGTTCTGTGTATTGTGGGAGACAAGATACAGTGAATGCAAAGTCCTGGGTTTAGTAACACCCTATATTTATTTTGTTTTTTTCATTTTATTTTCACAATACCTTTGTGTGGGGGGGGGGGGGGCAGTGGACGGTATCAGTAGTGTTTTATTTTTTAATTTTTAGAAGAGAAAATGTTATTTTTGACATGTTGTTTTCAATGTATTTTTTTTTCCAACTGATTTGGAGGGGGGGGGGGGGCAGCGGGCGGTGTCAGTATGGCGATGGACAGATTTTTTTTTTCAATTTTTATTTTTTTTTTAGAATTTTTGACAATTTACTTTTATATTATGTATTACTTTTTTTTACCAGCCTTGTAGGGGACTTTGGTGAGATATCAGGGGCCTAAACAGACCCTGAAGTCTCACTTTTGAAGCAAAGTAGACATGGTAAACATTGGTATGGATCAATGATTCTGTTCATTCAGACAAGGAAGGGTCCAGTAAATGACAGAAATATTCTCCATCCTGACACACCAGATGAGGTGCCATTGGTGTGGGGGGGAATTAAGAGCACCGATCTCCTAGTATGGCTTTCCATGAAAGCAGCCGAAAGACGTAAGAGGGGGAAGCGGAGAAACGGCTTTCAGCGACTTCAT